CCCCTCTGCGGAGTGGACCCCGGCCGGGAGCCCCTCACCCCCCGCCCGCGGCTGATGCTCCGGCCTGACCTCTCCCATCCTTTCCTCCCAGTCCAGCGAGGCTACCGCTCTCGGTCCAGTCTAGCGGCCAACATGGTCCCGTCGACCCCCCGCGCCCTCCCACCCCGGCCCCTCGTTCTTTGAAAGCGTTCGCTGGGGTCTGTGGCTCCCCCGCAGGACGTAGGGGTTCAGAAAGCAGCCACGACTCCTTCCTTGGTTATTACTCGGGAGATCTCTTCAGCCTTTGCCTCCTTTTTTCTTTGAGTTATGACTTCCCCGAGGCCGCTTTTAACATTCTCGAGGATCGCCTGGGTGTTGTCTGAACATTGTTGCATGGAGAGACCGCAAGTTTGCACGCCTCGGCCGAGCTGGGTGTCCGCCCTTCAGTGTGCACATGTGTGCATTGTACACTCCGAGTGTAGACGTTTCAGAAAGGTTGAACGTTGCAACCCTAGCGGCGGCGGCTGCACAGAATCGGTGTCTGATACACACGCTGCCGCCCGCCCGGCAGCCCAGCCGCTCCGCTCGCGCTGCAGGTAGGGGAGTTGGTGCCGCTGGCCTGGCAGCTGCTACTTATCTCAGAGCCCAGACTGCAGGCAGCAGGGCCCACGCAGTCCTTTTGCAAATTATTTGTCCTTTGAGTCACACGTAGTTTTTGGAGCTGGTATGCCCACCTCTCTGGCTCATGTAACCCTTTACAGTTTGAGATTTTCAGCTTTTAAAATCTCATAAGGATCTCTTTTAACCTTGAGTCAATGTTATATTCCTGGGAGGCTTGTTTTCCTTAAGAATATTGTCTTAACATCCAAACTCTACCCCCTCAAGCTCCCCCAACTTATAAGCATTTTTTCCCCCTTTAGGTTAATAACATTTTAAGGTTTGCAAGATCCGTATTAGTCCAAAGCATCACATTTTTAAAGTGCAGGGAAAGGCAAGAAAGAAAAAAGGAAAACCTTTAGTTATTCAGATAATTCACGTAAACAAAATAGTAAGGGAGAAAACCATCACATGGTTAGAAAACAAATTCTGGATTTGGCTTATTCTTTTTTGATTTACACTGATTATTACCAGAGAGGGATTATAAACCCTCTTAGTTATCAGCCTTAACGGTACCTGGGTATGGACATCCACATAAAGCATTGGCTAGATTAGTATGTTATTCCTACTTCCTTTCTTTGTTGTATTTATCTTTTCTGAAGTCTGCTGTTGGTTGCATTTTTTTAGAGTGGTGTCATTTTGACAGAGTTTAAAAATATCTTATGGTCAAGATATTTGTCTGTTTTATTCAGGATCCTGTTGCCTGATATTTATTTTATAATGAATATTAAGAAATCTTTAAATAATGTTAGTATGAAGATCATGTTTAGGGTATCAGGTTTATATTTTGTAAATAATTGAAATTATGTCAAACAAATGTATTTTGTACTGACCCAAGCTGTTAGGTACTAGGGATACAGAAATGAATGTCATAGCTATTGTCATCAAGGAACTTACTAATTTACAAGACAAGTAAGTAAAATAACAATCATACAACCATGTGGTAAGTGATATGCCTAGTGTAGTAAGGGAGCAGAGTAGGAGATGGCTAACGCTTGGTGTAGGTAGAGTCAGGAGCACACAGTAGAACAGTGGTTCTCAACCTTCCTAATGCCGCGACCCTTTAATACAGTTCCTCATGTTGTGGTGACCCCCAACCATAAAATTATTTTCGTTGCTACTTCATAACTGTAATTTTGCTAGTTATGAATTGTAATGTGAATATCTGAGATGCAGGATATATTTTCATTGTTATAAATTGAACATAATTAAAGCATAGTGATTAATCACAAAAACAATATGTAATTATATATGTGTTTTCCGATGGTCTTAGGCCACCCCTGTGAAAGGGTCGTTGGACCCCCAAAGGGGTCGCGACCCACAGGTTGAGAACCGCTGCAGTAGAGTTTTGAAGTATGATATAATTTTGCCAAGTGCAGTGAATCACTTTCCAAGAGGAGAATATAGAAAGTGAGAAGGCAAGGAGGCATGAGAAACCATGATAGATTAGAGAGGTCATTCTCAATGACAAGTCTAAAGTCAATAACATTGACGTTGAATGCAGGGGTTAGGGAAGTGATGGAAGATGACACTAGTGAGGGTGGTGGAAGGCTGGACCAGAGCATTGTTTCTTGAATTTGACCAAGCTATGGAGCATT